CTTCCAGTTATATATATAAAAAATATAATTGAGATTAAAACTATGTAATCGTAATATGTAAAACTGATTTGACTCTTAATATTTTCTATTACATGTCACGACAAGAGAAGTTGAAAAGTATATATTCGACAAGTTTTCTCAATTCAAATTTATTTCCCACGCTAACATATTTCCTTATCATATGGGTAATAACTTTTAAATCACTTAAAATATTTAGTATAGTAATTGTATTTGATGATCTTACTCTTTGCCGGAATGATTGGTAAACACAAAAACACTGTGCTAAAACGATTTTTTCTTGTCTTGCTTTGGTAGAGAAGTTTTGTACTTGCCTTTTACAACACTAGGAACGCTGTATTCGTACTTGGCGTAGCATTTGTTAGGTTTCTGTAAATAATGGAAAGGTAGAAAACATTTATCAGAGTCAACTCCTTGTTATAAGAATACATTGACGTTCTTTTGACTTTTATCCAATATTTAGTGTTAGATGATATAAATGAGAAATTATTTAAGACCAAATGAGTTAAGATTTGTTAGTTTCAAACAAGAACACAGCTTTAGAACGACTTTTTTGTATGTGTTTTTTTTTTTTAAGGGTCGCTGCATTTAAACCCTTTGGGAAATAAACCTGTAATTCATTTTATTTGAACTATGGGAGGAAGATAAAGCTGTTAAAATTTCATGTAATTAGCATGTTGGTGTTAACATTGTGGAAAATAAGGATAACAGAACAGGGTTCAAACGAAGTTAGTAATTAGGCATAAAGAAAAGTGTGCCAACAGTGCAATCAACTCTTACCACTGTTTGTTGTTCCACTTCTAACTCTTATAAACCAAAAATAAATATTACTAGCAAGCCGGATATTATATTCACATACATGTGCATCTCTGTGTTATACAGGTTCCATAGCGTGATGTAATTAAACGTTTGAATTTGTCGAGTCTCTTTCTAGATTCAAGAGTGTATGTTAGGAAAGAGGAAATCAAGTTAATGGGAAAATAATGGAATAGTTTCTTACTAACACGATATTTTTCATGATGAATTTTGTAATAGATCTCACGATTTAATCGAGAAGCAAAGGGTGAATCATACTTGCGCGCCACCATTAGGCGACTGAAAACAATTTTAAACCAAGTAAATTCTATGCCATATGTGTACAGCAGCAGAAATTCAAAGGCGCTTATTATTACGTGATACTGTATCGGGGATAAACCTTTAATGAAATATAATTCTAAGTTATTTCGACATCATTTATAGTAAAACGTAATATTACACTAAAACACATTTATTAACTTTTTTGAAAGTTTTAAAGAATTTAAAGAAAATTTTTTCATTATCCTACACGTTTTCCTAAATTCCGTATTCTTCATATCAGTATCGTGGACAATTGAGGTAATTGAGCTCATCACGTAAACTTGGTCCATCAAGACGTATACTACCTATATAATGCGTCTGCTTATATTGTTGATAAATTTGATAATGAATTTGAAGAGTTTCAAATTTTATTAATGTCAAAAGCAGTAAAAAACATATTTTATAGCAGCACCTAAGATATGTATTGTAAAACTTGTATATGTGTATGTGTGTGTATATTAAAAGGATTATAAATAAACAAACAACACGAAATTCAAGTTTCAAATCCAACAGATCAATCCTTTTCTTTTACCCAAACCAAGGAATACAAAAATGGGTCAGGAGCATACCAGATTAATTTATTATAGTACACCTTGTTAGGTGTGAAAACAATGTACCGTGTCCTGTTTGAAGAACATTTAATGTTACCATGACAACTGTAAAACACGCGTTCCTCCTATCGTAGTACCACTACATCCACTCTGATCTGTTGAAGTTTCGCTACCTGAAAACCGTATGAAAACGAAATATTTTTCGTTAGTTTTTTGATTTTCAATCATTAGAAAGTTTTTATAGGTAAATTGCAAAACGTAAGTTATAAGCATTAAACAGTAAATAAATAAATAAATCTGTTATCACTATTTATTTATCCCAATATCGAATACCAATAATATAAAAAAGTCCATATATATATATATATAAAAGTACGCGGAGGATCAGTTTGACATATGTCATAGACCTGTTTAATTTACTTTCTTATTTCGCTCATGCGTGCCATTATTGAAATGGCATAAGAAATATTTTCCTGAGAAGTGGGATGGTTGTCATAATTCGTGGCAGAACAGACTTCCGATTTATTTGCTGTTAGAGGGGGATCTAATGTTACCATAACAACGGAGGAGACTGGTTCTTGTGCTTAGTAAAAAGTATTATGAGGATTGACTTGCAAACTACAAAATCGGGATGTCAATAAAATTGTATAAGTTGTGAAGGGCAGATGTGTATAAGAGTGTTTGCTTGCTTTAAAACCCTCGTCTCGTACTGTAGAGCTTTTTTGAAGTAAAAAAAATGCTAGTAAACCCAATGATGTTTGTAATTATGATGCTGCAATTTAAAGTACGATTACTTTTAGTAACATAGGAAAAGTCATACTTTGATTATATTGTTGATAGGCTAAATGTATGTTTATCTTAGAATTTTCGCGAAAGCTGTACACAAAACCGTCTCTATCTTTGAACTGGTAGACTAGAGGGAAGGCAGCCAATCAACAGTACCCACCTCTACCTCTTGGGCTGTTCTTGTATTACCAAATAGTGGGATTTTACTGTCATTCTTATAATATACCCATGATCCCAAAGTACAGAGCGTTTTGTTTTCGGCAATAGACTCAAACCAAGAACTCTCGGATTCACAGTATGGCTACTATAAACGTTAGACCATGCCCGACTGGTTGGAAGATAAAAGTCTTACTTGTCGATATCCGAACAACTAGATCAATTGGACTTCTTCCCAGGTGGCTTGCGTGTTTTCAGTCCCTTATCTCTTCATTAGTGTTGTGATTAGAATAAACAGAAGAAAAAAAGGAAAATGAAAGAATTTCAGCTCACACACTTCCTGGATGACTTGTTTTTTGTTTGCTTTTGAAATTTAAGACTTTTAATAGTATAGTTCTTAACTATTTGCATCTTTCTAAAAAAGTAAACTGTTTTAACCTATTCTTTCATAAACAATGACACAGTAGTATACGTCGAAACATGTAGAGTGTATGAGATTGTTTTCCAGTTTCATCGGGGGTTTTTACCACTTTTTATCCTGTACAGTGAGTTATTGTATTTTAGTAATTTGTGACTAGAAACAATCTCATTTCTATAGAACTGTGTATAAAATAATCGTTGTTTTAAAAAAATTGAGTTTTTAAGATTGTTTTAAACTAGTTCGCACCCTAACAGTTGTTGTTCGTGTAACTGATGATATAAATAAGAGTCTAGACCGCTACTATGTCTGTCGTATCCTAGCCAGCCTGATGATCCCAGGTATTCCGCGAAAGGCCTCGTCGGCACTGGATATGGCAGACATAGAGTGGTTGATGTATTATTAGATATTCTTCTTTGTTTATACTCATTAGTTCATAGAATTTATCTTATATAAAGGACATTAATAAGAAACTAAGTGACACTGATCGTGTTGTATCTACGTAAAGCGACATTAATAAAAAATCAGATAATACTAACCGTTTTTTTCCCTACTTTAAGCGACATTATTAATAAACCAGATTACTGCCGACTGGAGACATTTTCCCCATTAATCTTCTTATAAATATTCATTGCTGTGTTTGTAGTAAATCCAAGACGATCCCTATCAAGACTGCTTTGTCGACTAAATCTCCATCTTCTTACAACTAGTTAAAGCCTCTTATTTTAGAATCTCTGATATCTGATAGTCTAGAAAACTGAACAAATTTTCATAGCGTAGATCTTAATATTTTTCCAAGATTTTTCTTCTTCTTGTAACAGGGTTTTATTAATATACTCCATCGGCCGAACTGGAAATATTTCCTTGATCTCGTTTATCTTTTGTATTGTCACGTCACTCTAGTAGATTGCGTCAATACTATGTGTTTGATGTTTTTTATTACAGAGTAAAAAATATGGCGATTATTTATGGTTTTAATTTCTTTGAACTATTTTGCATGAATCAGTGTCATCAGAAACCATGAACGACAAACATGACAACTTTGAAAATCAGAGATTATGTGAACTACATGAAACATTACAAATTGCGAAATTATTCATCAATAAACGTCACGCTTTTAAACAATAGACTTAGTAACCTTTGACAAGATGACTTTATCATGTGACAAACATTACAGTCAAATCCAACGATAATATTACAACAAACATGGCAATATGTTCAAACGAAGAGAGTGACAACTTTAAAAAACAACGAACATTAAATACTACTAAACAACTATCAAGCCTACTTTGTCAGGCTTTGAAATTTAACAAATAGTGCGCATAAAATAACCTTGCGAAACAAATAATATGGCACCATCATAACACATTGAACTTGAATATCAGTCATATCCTTTATTTAATAAAGTCCTCGTAGTACAATGTTTTATATCTGTTACCGTCATATCCTTTATTTAATAAAGTCCTCGTAGTACAATGTTTTATATCTGTTACCGTCATATCCTTTATTTAATAAAGTCCTCGTAGTACAATGTTTTATATCTGTTACCGTCATATCCTTTATTTAATAAAGTCCTCGTAGTACAATGTTTTATATCTGTTACCGTCATATCCTTTATTTAATAAAGTCCTCGTAGTACAATGTTTTATATCTGTTACCGTCATATCCTTTATTTAATAAAGTCCTCGTAGTACAATGTTTTATATCTGTTACCGGTAACAGAATAACATGAATGTTAAAGATTTGAATACAACGACTTTGTAATACGAAGATATGTATAGCTTCATTTAAGTAATAAATATGATGAACTGATAATGACAAACGTCATTACCTTATTAAACATTGTTCATAAAAATCACAGGAAAAGTTTAATTTTTTTTTATATAAAGTTATTTTCATATCGTTATAAAGATTTTGGAATATCTGTCCAAACTATACTCTGTTTTATGTTACAGTGGTCCTGCTGGACACAACGCATGAGAGCTCTCTCGACTGGACGAAATATCCATATGGTCCCCAAGCCAGAACTCCAGGAGTGAGCTAGTTTTTGTTATTTACGTTTTCCTGTACTTCCTTACTTTTAAAATCCACAAATTAGAAGTTCAACAAAATATCTGTTGAACGTCGATGTTTTTTTTAATGTAGATCGTTGTATTAATGGATAAGCGACTATGTTGTTTATTGACAGATAGATATTATGAAAAAGTTAACACCCGTAAAACAGCAGTTTGTCAATTATATTTGACAAGTGAAATTCCGCGAAGAATTTGGCTATCTTTTTCTTATATTAAAATATCTTTAGAAAAATCCCTTTTTTTGTTGTTGTATACATTTACAGAGATTTCTTTCAACTACAATTCCATTCTTTCAAACATCCATTGCTTTGTGAATTGTTTCTGACTTTATAACTTGAAATATTCGAGAGGGAAAGAGATTTGTTGTTTTCGTTGATTCCAGAAGATTAACTTTTCAGTCCATTCAACAAATCTACGTAGAAACACAGAAACTTTAACTTTTGCATAGATGTTATTTTTAAAAATTGAACATAAGTAGAATAACTCGAGAATTAATTTATTACACGTGTCAAATACAGCAAATCTCTCTCTCTCTCTCTTTTCTTAATTTCATATAATGATTTGTAATGTGGTTAATGACGTGGCTTAGCAAAATGAAAGTCTAGTTACACATCAGGTTTTTTACTTTAATTTGTGTGAATGACAAAATTTCTTTATGACGTGGCTTAGCAAAATGAAAGTCTAGTTACACATCAGGTTTTTTTCTTTAATTTGTGTGAATGACAAAATTTCTTTATGACGTGGCTTAGCAAAATGAAAGTCTAGTTGCACATCAGGTGTTTTACTTTAATTTGTGTGAATGACAAAATTTCTTTATGACGTGGCTTAGCAAAATGAAAGTCTAGTTGCACATCAGGTGTT